GGGTAGGGGAGGGGGGGGTGAGATGAAGGAGAGGGGCAAAGCGAAGGAATGAGAGTGTCGCTGTGTTTACTCGGTGTTGGAGGCCTGCGTCTCGTTGAAGTCGCCGGCACGGCTGTCGGCGTCGTCGTCCGACATGTCGACGGAGGCGCCATCCAGGTTGAGGTTGCGGCGGCCCGAACGGCTGGAGGAGAAGCTGCTGACCGGACCGCCGCGCCTGCGCACAACAAAGTAACAAAACATCATAAACCTTAAGTACTGTAAGAGGTAGTTTGACATTATGTGAAATTCGCTCATTTGCTGAGGTGAGAAGATCGATATATGTGTGTGCCAAGGAGCCAATTAGCTTAGCTTAGCATAAATGACTAGGAAGCAGGGGGAAACGGCGTAGCCAGGCTCCATTTAAAGAAAATAAAAAAATAAATTAAATACAAATAAATAATAAAATAAAAAAAATAAAAATAAAAACCAGCAGCTCCAAAGGTCACTAATCTGTAAACAAACAATGTAATAAATGTTAAAGCATAATTATGAGCTGGAACTATTCCTTTGCGACTAGTAGCAGCCTCTAACTCACAACTTCCTGTTTATACATTTTTGTGTACGGACGAAACAAATCAGATGTTTCTTAATTAGTGAACACACACACATATTCACACTCTTTGTTTAGTTTTTTTTTATTATTCAGGGGTTTGTTTTTTACCTGAGGCGGTTCTTGAGGGAGTTGACCTCTCTGGTGAGACCCTCGCTGGCCTCAGTGGCGTCGTCCAGCTCCCTCTGCAGCTTCCTGCGGGAGGCGTTGGCCCTGGTGGCCTCCTCCTCCGCCTCCTCCAGCTGACGCTTCAGCTGCTTCATACGAGAGTTGGCTTTCTCCATCTGACAGGAGGACGGAGACAGCGAGAGGTTGTGGGTGGATGACTAACCATCTTGAAAAAAAAATCTTTCAACGTGTGTCACTTTGCTTCTCATGAGTCAATACCTGCTCCTTGTACTGGTCAGCATGGCGACGCTCATCCTCCACCTGCATCATCACCTCCTTCAGTTTCTTCTCCGTACGACGGACGATTTTGTTGGCTGCTGCTCTCTCCCTGGAAGTAAAAAAAAAAAAGTAAGACAAGATTGTATTTCTCTAACTTGATGTCATAAAAGATGTTAAATCTTTCACACTGCACTCTCAGTACGTCTACCACCATTAATGTATTACAATAATTAAAATGACGAACGCTGACATTTATCCCCAATGTTTGTGTGTGAGGATATCTACTCAAACTGATGTTCAATGTTCTCTGTGACATCTTGTGAAAACAGGTGAGGTGGTCACTTACTTTGCTTCCTGCTCCAGCTGCTCCTCCAGCTGCAGGATCTTGGCCTCCAGGGCGGTGATGGACGCCTTAAACTTTGACTTGACAGTCCCCTCCAGCTCTGCCAGCTTGGCTTTCAAATCCTGCATTTATAATATGCTACTGTTAGGATTGTGAGCATTAAATAGGATTGATAAGATAAATATCATTCAATGTAATCCCTACACGTTGCTTTCTCTGCCCTTGCAATGGGTTAGGGTTACCTAACCCTAAACAGCTTTTTTGTTGTTTTATCAAACTCCTGTGTGTGCATAAACACATGTACAAGACCTTGTTCTGCCGCTCCATCTGTTGCCGAGCGTTCTCACTCTTCTGTGCAGTGTTGCGCTCTCCGGCCAACTCTGCGTTCAGGCTGTCGACCTGAGAAAGATAGATGAAGGTGAGAAGACGGGTGATGAGAGAGGGACGTGATGATGCACGGTGTAAACTGATGAGCAGTGATACTGTATGTGTTTGTCTGAGTGTTTGTGTTGTGGAACCATTATTATCTCGGGTAGTCAGTTTACCTGCATGGTGGTCTTTCTGAAGCGGTCGTTGAGCAGCTCCATGTTGCCCTGCTCCTCCTCCAGCTCCTCCTCCAGCTGGGCGATACGAGCCTCCAGCCTCCTCTTCTCTTCCAGCAGTGACGACCTGACACAGACACAGACACACAGACACACAGACACACAGACACACACACTTATATTCAGATCTCTAATTCTAACTCCAATCTAATGATTTACACTGATTACTCCACAGAGGTCCAGAAAACAGAGACCACTTCCCCACTTTTCACTAAAGCTGTCAACTTTTGTGCTCTACAAAATGATTTTAAAAATAATCAGTATAAAGAAGGTGACACTGACTTTCCAGAAGCACTGTTGGAGATCTCATCAGCCAGCTCGTCCCGCTCCTGTTCGGCATGCCGACGGGCCCGCTCTGACGCTGCGTGGTCCTACACAAACAACACACAACACATTATGATTAAAATTATCTCATTCATGTTAAGTCTGACTGGAACATGTGTGATTGTCATTTTTTCCACCAGTCTGTCACAGCACACGTCAGACAATACGCTGATCTCTAATAAAATCTGTAGTTTCACCTCCTGTAGCTGCAGGATTTCAGCTTCTAGGCTCTTTAGTTTCTTCTCGTTCTCCTTGGACTGGGTGAAGATCTCATCCCTGGAGGCTCTGGCCTCCTCCAGCTCCCTCTGATAGTCCTTCATCTGAGCCTACAGAACAGAAACAATGTGGACAAAGTTAAAGGCTGACACAGCAGAAAAGTTACCACACAGGCCGGAGGTTTTCAAACAGTGAGGCATGCAGGTAGTTGTAAGTCAAATCTGAACACACCGTCATAAAGGATACAAGATCATTTAATTGTCAATTTAAAACACATTTTTATATTCAGTCTTTCTGAGGATATCATTACCTCTGAAAGGAAGTATGTAAGAATGATTCTTATTAGCAGGTTAATATACATTAATGAAAACAAACCCATTAATATTATATTTAATTTCTGCCAACGCATCCTCCTAAATGTTACATACTAGAGTAGGAATGAGCGAGTACAACATTATCTATATTATAGTGTATTGTTTATCAGAAAACTACAGCCTCAGAAATGAGTTTCAGATTAATAATGAGTAAGAGAACCAGGGATGTTGTATCACAATGTTTTGAATCCTCTGCTTATAATAAAAAAATAATAATAATCAACATATATACTATACACTATATATATATTTCTTATTTTCTCGGGTGGTTTATGCAAACAGACACAGCCCTTGTTGGTACAGCATGGAAACATACATTCAGCCACTGACTCCCCTGTAAGCAGGCGGCTGAGTGAATATTATGTAACCAGTAGAAGCAGTTGCAGTCACGAGCTGTAACGCGACTGCGCCGTGTCCGTTATGAACCAAGTTCTCCAAATAACTCAGCTGAAGATATTTTACAACCCGAGGTAGAAGCGAGCCAAACGCTGGTGTAGAAGCACAGAAAAGTCACGGGCTGATGTTAATCCCTGTGGGAAAGTGTGTGTGGGTGAGCTCTGTGTGTAACTGGCCAATCACGGTGTTCACACACTGGACAGACACAACTAGTAACAGGCAGTAGGGCTACCCAATGAGAATCTTCAGATATTGACATATTTTACTCAGTACAATACCTTACCGGACACTCGTTCCAGCCGAGTACCCGGCTCAACCCAACACTGGACCTTTAAACATCATTCATTCATTTGCGGAGTGCGTACCTGTAGTTTCCGGAGCTGTTTAATAGCCTCGTCTCTGCCTTTGTTAGATGCTTCGATCTGTCCCTCCAGCTCGTTCAGGTCCATCTCCAACTTCTTCTTGGCAGCAACAGCCAGAGTCCTCTGCTTCCTCTCGTCCTCCAGCTCTGCCTCCATCTCGCGCACCTGGAGGAGAGAAACAACACACGGCATCAAATGTTTCAGTACTCAATGCAAGTTCTTACCATTCTAAAATTAAAAAAAAAACTAAAATGTGACTATTGCATGAGCTGTGCGGAGGAATGTCTTCATTTCTCAACTCATTGTTTTGTATTTCAAGATAAATATAAATAATATAGAGCCAACTCATGATGGTCATTGTCCGTGTCCTCTGTGTACCTGTTTGACAAGCGCTCTCTTCTTCTCCTCTCCCTGCTCGTCTCTGGCTTGCAGGTCTCGGTCAAACTGGGCCTTCATGGCCTGCATGTTGACCTCCAGACGCAGTTTGGCGTCCTCCGTGGCCTGCAGCTCATCCTCCAGCTCCTCCAGCTGAACTCTCATCTCCTCCAGCTGTTGCTCCATGGCACGTTTAGACCTCTCCAGTTCATGAACCTGTGGACGAGGA